AAGGGTTCTGCAATTAATAAGAGTAATGTAACAAGATATCAATTATGGTGTATCCTTCACCAAGTTCAAACTCAAATGAAATCGAGTGGTAGAAATCTGAATTCTAACAATGGCAGGTATAGCCTTGACTAACTTGTAATGGCCTAGTGGATTGTCGGGAAAAATAACCAGATCCCGTCCTTAACTTTTTTTTTGCGAATCGCATCGCAAGCTTTCTCAAGCTGAAATATTGATTTCTTTCTGCGACATCTTATTTTTACCTTTCTCTTCGTAAGTAATCAAGATGTCCGCACCAGTGATAGGTCTACCGGCGGTTAAACTCCCTACTGCTCCTTCGCCAGTTACACCTGAACAACGATATTGGAAGGGCTTTCGCTCCCAGCAGCTCATCCCATCACCAACGAATTATCCTATCACGCACATATCATTCCCTCCTCCACCAACAAACGCTTTATCACCCTCCGGCAATGATTACTTCTGTGTTACCACTGGTACTCGACTCCAGATCTACTCAATCCGCACACGAAAATTAGTAAAGACTATTACGCGGTTCTCAGATGTTGCGCATAGTGGAGAGATTCGACGAGATGGACGTGTTATGGTGGCAGGTGATGAAACGGGAAAGATACAGGTTTTTGATGTGAATTCGAGAGCCATCTTAAAAACTTGGGAAGAGCACAAGCAGCCTGTTTGGACTACAAAGTTTTCGCCAACAGAATTGACGACTCTCATGAGTGCTAGTGATGATAGAACTGTTAAGCTTTGGGATCTGCCAAGTCAAGAAAGTACAACTACTTTCACTGGACATACCGATTATGTGAGAAGTGGTGCTTTCATGCCTGGATCGATGTCGAATATGATCTTGACTGGTAGTTACGATGAGACTGTCAGATTGTGGGATCCTAGAGTTCCAGCCAGAGCAGCTATGACTTTCAAGCATGCTGCACCAATTGAGACTGTACTTCCTATGCCCTCAGGGACCACTGTTCTTGCTGCAGCTGATAACCAAATCTCGGTCCTTGATTTGGTTGCTGGAAAGCCCTTGCACATCATCAAGAACCATCAGAAGACTGTCACTTCGTTGTGCCTCGCATCAAACGCTACTAGACTGGTTAGTGGTGGCTTGGATGGCCATGTCAAGGTTTTCGAAACCACTGGATGGAATGTTGTAACTGGACTCAAATACTCGGCTCCTGTTTTGTCAGTCAATGTTGTTAGCTCTGGTGCCAATCGCGAGGATAAGCATTTGGTTGTAGGTATGCAATCTGGTGTCTTATCTATTAAAACACGACTATCAGGCCAGCAAAAGGTGAAAGAAAGGGAAAGAGCGAAAGAGATGCAAGCCTTGCTCGACGGTACATTAGAGGAATACGATAAGAAGAACAAGAAAAGAAAACACACTAGCGGAGTAGAGAAAAGGCTTAGAGGAATGGATTTCATGGGAGAAGGAGCAGATGTAGTGATTGAGGGTAACGCGCGTTCAACAAAGCGAAAGGCCCCAGAATGGGAGCGTGAACTCCAACTTGGTCGATATCCTCAAGCGCTAGATTATGTACTCCAGAAAGGCCTTCCCGCAGTCACTGTTCTTACACTTCTTACTGCTCTTCGACACAGAAGTGCTATGCGAGCAGCATTCGAAAAGCGTGACGAGACTACAATACAACCAATTTTCAAATGGGTATCAAAACATATTACCGATCCTCGATATGTTCCCATATGTACTGATGCTGCTATGCTGCTCTTGGACATATACGCGGAGTATACCTCTGAATCTCCAGAATTAGAACGCCAAATCAGGTTCTTACACAGACGTGTAAGGGCAGAAGTAGAAAGGTCACAAAAGGCGATGCAAGTTAAGGGTATGCTAGATTTGCTTGTGGCTGGGGTAAAATAGGAAGTCTAATGAGCAATTGTCTGTTTTTGCATAGCGTTGGCGTTGGTAGGGAAATACCGGAAATGTCAGGAAAAGCTTCCTTGTCCATTCTATATTTGAAAGACTCAATAATTGAACCTATCACATAAGCTACTGTGTAGATTTCCAGATGAGGATTGCAACTATGTTTTTCTCTGCTTGCAATACTATGTTGAGTAGTTTTCTCAAATTTGAAAGGACTTCGTCTATTCTCCTCGCAAACCCAAATTCACGTCATCACGCATTTGTAAGCGCCAGGGGTAAATCTTGCTTTTAACCCACCCCCATGATACCAAATTATTTACGAATAACCTCCTATCGGGTATTGTGATCAACACTGATTCAATACAATACCAGACGTTCTTTCAAATTTTGTCGAGATAAAGCTCTAATTTGCGTGGCAACTTTTTCTATGAGGCATGGTAGCACGTTTCTCAATTAGAGAAACTGATTGATATCTTGATCAACTCGTCCAAAACATGATATGATATCTTCTATTCACAGAATTGTGCCATGACATTTTTACAAATGATTCACATATTATCTAGCTTAAATCATAAACGTCCACTTTACCCTGACATAAGGTTCACTTCAAACTAAGATATTGAGCTCCACTGCAAAAACACTATCCAGAGTGCTTCGATCAAACACCCTTCCAATAGACCCACCAAAAAGCACCTACACCGGCGATGGAAGATCTAATCGAAGCAGCACAACACAAACGCGATCGCAAGTTGCTTCGCAAAAGCCGTCCAGAGTCCAAACAATCCCTCACTCTACCTCTCATGAACCTTTCCGTCATGGATCGAAGAATCAAACTCTTCAACTGTGACCGGGACTTCGACTTTGAAATCTGCGAGACCAGATGATTTGAATAGACAAAATAGCGTGCAAACGAGATGTATGAATATGCTTCTTTCTCTTGACACTAATCCTCGTACGCACAAAATATACGTATCATTCTTCAGCTGTCAAGTCATCTTACAAGTTATCTCTTGAATCTCAATTTTCCAACCACAACCCACTCACTCACTCTAACATCCTCAAGGGATTCTCCTAGCAGGCTTCATAATCTTCCCCGGCACATTCACATCTCTCCACTCTCTTCCCTCTTCTCTTCCCTCTGACCCAGATACAACCACCCAGCATCTTCTCCTCGCAGCGAAAAATATTCCGCTTCTCTGGATCGCGAGTTTTAGTTGTGGGACCGGTGTATTGGGTATGTTATGGTTGTGGTATACGCATCGTCGAAATTACGTGTGGCTTTTGAATAAAATATTCCTGCCGGGTTGTCTGAATAGTGCGGCGGGGTTTGTGGGGACGCTGGTGGGGGTTTATGGGCAGCAGGAGAGGGCGTAGAGTGTTACTGCTAGGTGGTTGGGATGTTTTCTTTGATAGTAGAAAGACGGAGAGCAATTTAGTTTCTTTCATTTCCTCTAAACTTTATCTTTATATTACAGAATACATCTAACTACTCACATCCCATCTGCACACAGAGTTGCAGCAATTGTCACCGCCACCATCGCATGTATAACAGGCCTTTTAGTCATACTCTATAATTTCTGGTCGTTGAGAAGGGTAAAGAGGATACATGCAAGAGAAATTAAGAATTTTGATGAGGGATTTGTAGAGAAGATTAGGAGGAAGAAGGCTAAGTTGGCGTTGGAACCGGGAAGTGTGGTTTAGTGGCTGGAGTGATAATATAATGGTGGGGAGATGGGAGATGGGAGATGGGAGATGGGAGGAAGGAGAGATGTTGGGGATTTGTGGTGTTTTTGAGAAGAGATAGGTAAAGATTTCTTCTTAGATGTCATGTATCTGTGAGCTATCTACATACCTAGGTAGTGATGAAGAATATTCCCTTACATAGATTTGATATCGTCTAGCTCCTATTCTCTGACCTCGCTAATGTGCTTCTTTCACCTGCACTGTATAATCCCAAGAAGCCAAGTACTTTGGTTTAATATCCAAATCTTCAATAGTCTTCTTGATCAAAGTTGCCTAGACGTTTAAGTCATCCAAGTCAAGTCATGAAAAAGACTACTCAAATCCAACTAACCTTCACAAAAGACGTGATGAGGTAAGAACAGAAGTGGAGTAGAACAGTATCTTAGAATCCCTTTAAATTAGCAAGACAAAAAATGAAGTGCTGAATATATACACACATACAAACCAAACACCAACCAACTATCCACCCTCAGAATCCATTCTGAATCCCCACTCTACTCCATATAAACAAACTTCGCCCACTTAGCACTTAGCCCAACTACCAAGCACCCCCCCTCAATCCTTCAATCCCTCACCCATCTATGTATCTATCTAACAATCTATCAATACACCACCCACTCCCCCCCCCGCAAAAAAAATCTAGACAACCCAACCCAATTTCCCGAGCATCAAGCACGAATCAGCAAAGCAACCTGGATATACCAATTATACTAGTAGCATAAAAGCAACAAACACAACTACCTACCTGTCTACCTACCTAGCACCTTCCTAGTACATACAACCCCTACAACATTCACAACTCCAAAACCACCAAGCCACCAAGCCACCAACTAATAATCTCTAAGCTCCTCTATACATCTCTATGCTTCTCCATACTCCTCCAGGCATCTTTAGGGATCTCTAATCTCAAACCACCAAAGTAAATAAATATACAACACACAACAAAAAGATAAGATTTCAAAAAGAAATCGGTGTGATAAGATTTGATATATAATTCGATATATAATTCGATATATAATTCGATATATATAGATAAATATCCAAACTTCTTTTACTATTTATCTCCTAGCTCCTAGCTCCTAGCTCCTAGGTAGAATAGAATAGAGTAGAAGGATATAAGTGAGAGAGAGAAGAAAGTTATTAAGCGAGAAAGGGGGTTGCGCTCTTCATGACTCTTATCATCCCCTCTTTTCTCATTTATTTCCAAGCCCAAAGAGAAAACACGTAGAGAACAAATAGAAGATAATGTGTTATGTGAGTTCGATGATCTACAAAGGTAAACTACATTTCTCTTTTACACGTTATCTATTTAGCCTCGGATGCATGCGTATCGATAATCTGCATCTCTTTTAAGTGAGAGATTAGCTTCATCAATCTCGTGTATTGATTGAGAAATGAGGTCATGGCTCTGCAATCGAAAGATGAACAATAAAAGTATCATTAATTCCATAGGTGAACACCTTGTCCCCCAATCCTTCCAAATCGTAATCGCCCACGTGTATTTACTTAAGTATCCTAATTCCCACTCTTCGTACACGTTGTGTGCTATGCTCTCATACTTCTATCTACATCGCTACCAGACATATCAGTATCCTCAATTTTTGGTTGTTTTTCGATACTCGTTGTAACTCCTTCACCCCTACACTCTGCCCCCTCCACTCGATCCGCCACTTCGCTAGCTTAGCTTGTTAAACGACATCATCATTCCCCTTGACAACCCTATGACACCATCCACACCAACTCCTTGCCCTTCCCTCCATCTCCCTAACCAAATACCTCCCCTCACTTTTTTCATCACCAAATTCTGGCACACAAGCCCCTACCTTCACCATCTTAACTCTCTTCTTCTTCATGATCCCCCCAATCCCCTCAATTTCATGTCTTGCATATCCAGGCCCTAGACTCAAATTTCTCTCACTGCTATTCGGACTCGTGCCTCCAAATATACTTCCTCCAGGACTAGATGCTGGAGACCCGGCTCGACTAGATTCTTCAAATTCACGCGCGTCTTCGGCGTCACAGTCGGTTTCTTGTTCTACTTCAATGGCAGCTAGACAAGTACTACCAAGACCGCAGGGAACACCACGATTTCCTTCACCGATACCAACGCCAAGACCACCTAGGGATGGAAGGTAACGTGTACGCCATTTCCAAATGCCTTCGTATTCTTGATCAGTGGAGCGGAGGGAGCGTCCACAGGGTTGACAGAGCCAAACAGCTGTTGGACAACTGCAGAGAGAACCTTTGATTGTTTCAGGGGATAGTGAAAGGGTATGATCATGTGTATTTGAGGAAGAAGAGGGGGAACATGATGATGAAGAGCCAGCGACCAAAGAAGAAAGAGGAGCCTTCGAGCATATCTTACACATGCGTCGATGACGATGACGTAAGAGAACGGGGCTAGGTGGTTTAATAGTGCAGTTCTGTTTGCACAGAATTAGCCTCTATAACATATGGACACAGCGCCTATACAGATCCCAATATCCTTTGATAACACATACCCTACAAACCACCCTTCCGCACTTGCGACACTCTCCCACCAAATCTCTGGCACAATCACCCACTTTTCCACTACCGTGTGCATCGCGTCCGCTTTCAACAAAATAGTAATCTGCGGCTCGCGCTCGATAACGAAATGTGTGTTCGGGATCGAGCTCTACATCCTCGTTTTCGCAATGAAGGGTTGATGTGAGAAGCTTGGAGCGAAATTGAAGGAGATTGACGCGAACTTGACGGCATGTATGAGAGAGTGCATCGAGAGTGTTGAGGTCGATATTAGCTGCGATGGCAGATATGATACTGCGAGAATGTTAGCCTCTTCCTGATTGCATGATTCACAAGTGAATAGAATCAATGATGAATGGGAACTAACGGATAACAGCCCAATGCCTCGGTGATGACATTTTTATTTGGATTCACCCTGTCGTCTTGATCCAACGTCAATCCAAGTGCATTTGCTCCCTTGTTCGCCTCCCCAAATCCGCCCCAAACCGGCTTTTGAAATCCATTTATTCCATTCTGCAAGTGGCTCAATTCATTTCCCACTTGTTCTGGAGGTTCGGAATCATCTTCGAGATCGATAAACACCACCATTTTCGTATCTGAAGTATGTGGTGTGGGAAGAGGAGACTATAGGTGTTGTGGTAGATGATAGGAATGGTATGGGTGATGACGATAGTGATGACGATAAGGATAAGGAAATGGATACGGTATGAATGAACAACAATAATCAGATGTTGACGTGTGATTGTTTCTTATTTAAACTACACACCAAGAACATCCAAGAAGCTTTGAATTTTCAACAATTGAATTGTTCTTGTCTTTTTATTGAGACGAGGTGAAGCATAACCCAAGACTTGACTAAACTCGTCTCTCGTCCGTTTCTCGGTCTCTAGCGTCTTAGGCCACCAGTGGACAAGAGGTCTCCACCCCTTTCTTTATCAGATCAAAAACGATCTGATAAAAAAGAAGTTGGATTTTATTTCGTAATAGACTAATTACATCGTTCTCATTCCAGCAATCGGATGGACAATCCACTTCATGATGGTATGTATTTCGTGTGCAGGGGAGGTGTGTACGTCTTGGGAATTTCTATGTGGTAACTTTATGCTAATTCTATTAATATTTGGGATGAGATATGGACGGTGAGCCTTATGTAGAATGATTTGTATCACTTAGTTATTGTGGCATCTGATGGCGTGCTCGGGCTTGCAATTGTTTGTTGGGATGATCTTGGAAGGATACAATGGGCTGTGATGCAAAGGAGATGATTAAGTCATATGGCGGAAGGTTGATGTGATGACTATTATATCACCTTATGGGCTGATATATGACATGAAACTATGCTCATTGTTCTGGTTTGTTTTGCACATTTATTTTCATAGCAACACCGCCCTCAAACGACTCTCATGCTGTGTGATGGCTCGTTATGAACTTTGATCTAAGTATGTATGGTATTGCAAACTACAGTTTGAAGCTCACTCGTTCCTCCAACGAAAAATCCATAGGGGTGAAACAATCTACAATAATATCACATGGCCAAAAAAATCAGGATATAAAATCTTGGCATTAACATCATCAATAATCCAACATCGAGACTCAAAAGTCCTATGGCTACTGCCAATATGTTTACACCAGAAACGCCTAATGCTAATCCAGACATGGACAATTCAGTCCGCCCCAATGCGAAATACCCTTATTCGAATGTACCTTTTCCAAACAAACCACCAACCGCCTTGCGCCTAATTTCCACTCCTTTAAATTTCTTTTGTTCTCTTCTCTTCTCCTTCTTCTCCATCACAGCTTTCCGTTCACTTTCCCTAACGAAAGAGTTCACTCCACTGTGCTTGCCTCCTCCTCTCCTGATACCTGATCCTTCGTCCTTCCCACCAGCCATTCGCTCTGTTGCCGACATACCAATACTTACACCAGTGCTTGATGTCCCAGACAAAATACTGCTATTTGTCGTAGCTTTTCTCAATAGAGGTACTACCCTGTGACCTGGTTGCGATGAAGGTGCTGCGAATGCTAGACGTTCATTATTGGCAGCAACATTACTCGAAGATTCACGTTTAAGTTGTATTCTGTCGATGATGGAGGTTCTAGTTCTGCGTAAGGCGAAAGGATCACGATTCTTTTGAGTCCCTTGTTCTGGACCTCCTTCAATTTCCAGATCATCTTCTGAATCAGACTCGAAATTTCTTAAAGTAACCATAGCGTGAGGATCTTCAATAAGACTTGACAATGATTCTCGAACCTCTGATAGATTCGAGGGCTTCTTCCCTGTACGTCGCAAGTGTGGTGGCGGTCGAACATAACTAGTGCTATCAGAATGCTTACGTTTTGACGGAGGGCCCATGACTTCTCCAGTCTGAATCGGTGCAGGTTGCTGAGATTCATCGTTCTGGGTTTGAGATTGTGAGTCAGAAGTATCATCTTTTTCTTGAAAGTCATCCAGGAATCCCATCTCATCGTCACTTCCACGATCCTCGATTGCACGAAGAAAAGCTTCTTTTTTGGGATTCTGTGCAATCTTGCCAATCTTTTCGTCTGCAAGTAAAGCTTTACGCATTTTGGCTTCTGCTGCGCGTTTTCGACGCTGGCGTGCCTCTCCACCATCATCTGAGTCCGAAAGATCATAGTCGGCACCTCGTTTGCGGCGAAGCATCCCCTTGGAGATATCGTTGTAAAGCTTCTCTATTTGTTTCTCGTCGCTTGCTCTCTCGCGGTCACTAAAATGGTTAGCAATAATACATGTATTTAGATTTCACAACTTACGCATAGAATTTGGCGAGTTCACTCTCGTCGATGTCTTTCTTTTCATCATCTATCATTTCTTTGACAAAAGCATCCTCTTCCCCTCCACTTTCATCGTCACTGGCACCACCCAAACCAGCATACTCGTCTTCTGATTCCTCGGCTTGTTCATTGACCATATTCTTAGCATTACTCTTTTTCTTATCAAATTCTTCAACAACCTTCGGCTTCCTTTTGGCAGCTTTACGCATGACGTCAAAAGCGTCGGCGGTAATTTCAAAGTCATCATTTTGATTTTTATCCTCACGGGAAGCATCTAGCGATTCATCCTCATCGGACACAGAGATAGTTCGAGCCCTTCTGCGAAGCTTTCCTTTCCTCTTCACAATGGGTGTTTCTTGGATGTGGTCACCAACCATTTGAGTAGATGGTGATCCCATCTTAAATGTGCCTGCGGTCGAAGGTGGATCCATAAATCGAGATTTAATGGGTGTGATCATCGAGAACCCTTCATCCTGTGTATTGGGGAATTCAGAAACTTGAGTTGATAATGGGTTCTCGACCAAACTGTCGAAATCATGTATTTGCGATTGTGAGAATGAAACCTGGATTCCCTGGGTTTCATTGTCTACTGGTTGTGATGCTGGTATTTGTGTTTGACTATCCATTACCATGTCTTGTGTCTCTTCGTCAATCATGGTGGGAACAAAATCGGGTAGCTCAGGCATAGCTCTTCGGCGAAGGAAATCCATGGAGTGTTCCTTTACGTTCGAGATTTGTGAATCTGGATTTGATGATTCAAATATGTCTTGACTATCATCCATTGTACCCTGGAATATCTGCGTAAGACCAAGTCCAGCAGGGCCCGTTATAGGTAAACCAGGTATGAATGTTTTGGTTGCTGAACGAAGAACTGAAGTTGGGATTACCGGTGAGTCTGTTCGCGGCTGCGACAAAGATAGAGTTCTCGGAGCTTTGGGTGTATTTGTGAGAAGATCCTCTTCTTCCTCGTCATCGGAGATAATGTTCGTGACTCTCGATTTTCTGGATCGGCGATGGACAGGTAGAGTTTCTTCTTCGTCCTCGGCATCCATGAGGTTTACTGGGTCTTCCGGAATAGAAAGATCGATTTCAGATTCTTCATCTTCCTCTGCCTCATTGTCGAATATGGGATTAGGTACAGGGTTATCAGTTGCCTCTTCTTCCTCAATTTCCTCATCCTCGCCTTCCCCACTTTCTTCATTCTCGGAGTCCTCATGCTCGTTGTCTTCTGAACCGGAAGCTTCTTCCTCTTCTGGTATTTCATTCGTCTCTTGCCAGTCCTCGTCGTCGCTGCTATCGTCCAGTGGGTCTGCTTCGCCATTGGCTTTTCGCTCTCTTTTAGCAGCTGCCTTTTCCCTTGCCTGGATCTCTTCTCCTTCACGGCGAGCCTTAGCGAGTAAGTCATCAACCTCTGCCATTTCCTTTTCTCGTTCCTCGGCAGTCTGCACAATGATTCCTCGATCTTTAAGGGCCTGGAGTCGCTCTTCTCTTTCTCGATGTGCTTGTTGCCTTGCCTTCAATTGAAGACTGATTTGTAGATCTTGGGCTGTAATAGATGGCTTTTGATTTCTTCCGGAATTTTGCTTTCCAGGCGATCTGAGGTGTGCAAGCATTCGTAAGGCTACCATTGAATGAGGTTCCTTGGCTTGTTTCTCCGGAATGCGCTTAAATATCGCATCTAATTTTGCATTGCGAGCAGATTTCTTTGGTTTCACAATCTCGAGATCACTATCCGAATCAAGCTCCAAGTCACTAGTACCAACTTTCGCTGGCCATATCTGAATTGGTCGCTGCTTGAAGACAGGCTTCTTCTCAGATAAAGCTTCGATCAGTTCCATATCGACTGCCTTTCCTTTGCCCTTGTCTCTCCTGGAAGGTAGTGGCGATTTCAGAGCTTCCTCGAGAGTAGGCAAGTCTTCTTCGTCTACCACATCCATGGCTGTGCTTGTTACCAGAGAAGGTCCGACGGGCTCTCGTTTATCATTAGTGTCCATATCATCTGGTGGAGATGTGGGTGGTGTTTCTTGCATCTCAATGTCTGAGTGTGGTGCGGGCGGAGGACTTGAACTTGTGGGTCTAGCAGGGTCAGAAGAAACAGTATTAGTCTCCTCAGTTTGTCTGTATCCAAATTTGGCGAACAAGCTCTGTTTCGTAATCTTCTTCTTGTTTGTAGCTTTGTGAGCCAATTGCATGTTCCTCGACAATCGTTGAGTCTCTCTGTGCATCTCCTCAATAGCTCTCTTGCTCGCCTTCCGGGTGGGACGATTTTGCTGTGTAAGTCGTTGACCTCCTTCATCCTCGCTATCAACCTGATCGTCGTCTCCAATCAATGCGGCTTGTCGTTTCCTTTCTTCAGCTTTCGCAGCCTTCTTCTTTCTATCTTCCGCTTCTTTCGCGTGCCGTTCTTGGCGTTTCCTGGCAACCAAGTCCTGAAAAGTTTTATTTGATTTCGATATCGAGTCCAATTCCAGGTTATCTAGATTGGAAGCATCGGCCTGTGGTGTGGCCGATCTGCCAGCACTGGGTGTAACGAAAAGTCCAGGAGAAGCGGATTCTTGTCGAGGGGTTGATTTGACAGGTGTCTGACGAGGTGAACTTCCCATCTTACGTCTTCGCAAAGCCACTGGTATATCGCTTTCATCGGCATGACTTTCATTATCTGCGGCCTTCGGTGACTCCGGCCTTGTTTTATTCTTCATGAGTCTCCTGACCCTTTCCCTCGGATTATTCGCCACGAGCTGATCGTCGTCAGATCCGTCCAATGCAGCTTGCATACGCGCAGCCATTCGACCCCTTGGCCTTGCTATTTCTTCTTCGTCTGAAGAGGTCTGACTCCCGACATCGAATGATCCTCTCGTTTCACCAAGTGCCGTTGACTGAGAGTTTGTATTGAATATATTCGACTTTGGTTTTCGTGAGGCGATTCTTTCCCTTGCATTTCCAGAGACACTCTCCTCATCAGATTCACTGAGTCCTGCAGCCGCCAAAACAGCTCTGATTTTAGTTCTGGGAGTCAACTCCATTAGAGAAGTAGACTCTCCAGGCGAAGATTCTCGTGATGAAGCCATTGTAATTAATTATAATAAATTTATGAATGAGAAAAAAACAACAACACAACCGTATGTAAGATGGAGCGTAATCATAAAATAAGAATCGTCAAATCATTGTTTGTAGTTGTAAAATAGATAGATGTAAGGTGCAAGGAGAAGAAGTGTCTAAGAGTTAGAGACTTTTGTGCTTCGATACTAGAAACGCGTTCAAAAAGACGTGTACGCGACAAGCAAGCATAAAGCATAAAGTTTGAGTGCGCGTGGAGGTGTGGCTGAAAGATTACCACCCACCTTGATAACCGCACCTCCCCCACGTATGATATCTGACTCGTCACTTCTATTTCCGATCAGATCAACTTCCTCATGACCATGTAGAAATTCGAGATATCGAGGATATCGTGAACTGTCTCCAAGTTTTATTATAGAGTGATACTTCTTTTCCTTTTGTCTTGTTCGACGAAGATTTGTGTTTTAAACCTGCCATATATACGCGGTAGTTGTATTTCTAGATGAAATACTGAAAGAAAATCAACGTAAAGGCAGCATCCCATATATCTAATTTGATATTGTCCTACAACAAATTATGACAACTACATATCTCCAGCGTTTGAAAGCTAGATCTCAAAACAATGTGGCCGCGTTGAGAGATTCTCCTTTGGCGGAGATATCAGGTGCCTTTGGTGATCTAGGAACTCTATTACCATTGATGATTGCTCTGGCGATTAATAATTCAATATCTCTCTCAACAACTCTATTTTTTTCGGGACTATGGAATATATTGACCGGTATTGCTTTTGGTATACCTCTACCAGTACAGCCCATGAAGGTAGTTTCTCTTGTAACTGGCCATATTCCTGGCTGACCATTCTCTAGGCTATTGCTGCTGTAGCCATCTCAAGGAACTTTTCGATTGAAGAAACGATCTCTGCTGGTTACACTGTAGCCGGCGTGGTGTTGATCTTAAGCGCTACAGGACTTCTTCGATGGTTCACACGTATGATGCCTACACCTGTCGTCAAAGGTAAGTATTTTTGCTGAATCAATTTCTGATTCAATAAAGGTTCTGTGTTAATTATATTCACAGGTATTCAAGTCGGAGCCGGCCTGTCTCTGATCCTATCCGCTGGCTCAAGTCTTCTTCAACCTTTGGGTTGGACGACTCCAAATGCTGCCGACAATCTGATTTGGGCACTTTTCGCCTTCATCGCTCTGCTAATTACGCAAAGGCTTCCAAAGTTACCATATGCTCTAGCTATTTTCGTGCTTGGACTTGTGTTGTCATTGTATACCACGGGCTTTAGCTACCTGCCTTCATTTAGATTATGGCACCCTCAAATTTATGTTCCATCCGCAACTTCGTTCAAAGTCGGGGCGCTCGACGCTGGTCTAGGACAAATTCCCCTGACGACCTTGAACTCCATTATTGCTGTCAATTTTCTGGCATCTGATCTCTTACCAAACATTCCTGCCCCAGGCGTTACTTCGATTGGTGTCAGTATCGCACTAATGAATCTGATTGGTGGCTGGTTTGGTGCTATGCCTGTTTGTCATGGTTCAGGAGGACTCGCTGCGCAGTATAGATTCGGAGCCAGAAGTGGTGCAAGTATAATCATCCTTGGTGCCTTGAAAATGATCTTGGGATTGTTTTTCGGTGAGACACTTGTGGGTCTACTAAGACATTACCCGAAGAGTTTGCTTGGAATCATGGTCGTAGCAGCTGGTCTAGAATTGGCAAAGGTAGGAGAAAGTCTTAATTACGGAGCTCGAGACTTGTGGGATATATCGGAATCGAGTGTTGTATCAGATTCAGCTCAACCACACACAATTAAACGTCATAGGCAACTTTCAGACGAGGAAAGGAAGGAAAGATGGACAGTAATGTTCATGACCATTGGGTTTCTGCTCGCATTCAAGAATGACGGGGTGGGGTTTTTGGCTGGTATGTTGTGTCATGGTTTCAATCAATCTTCTAGGTTGCGGAATGCTTGGGAAGGGTGGAGAACGAGATACAGTGAGAGAAAGACTAGGAGTGCTGCGAATAGTCCCGGAGATGAAGATGAACAACAGTTGCTCTCCAATGCTTAAGCATGGGACGTGATTAGAATTCATTGACATTCACGAGCATATGAATGAATGACAATGCGTTGTAGCAAAACTGTATCTGTAATTTGACGGCGCTACCGCCAAATCTTTTTGATCACTAGCAATCTTTATTCAGCAGTTCAATGGCATTTTTAAGAGATCTTTGATAATCTTATAGTATACAACTCGGTGTGATTTATACATCAAAATCACCATGAATAGTACTGCCTTTGGGCAGTTACAGGTCTATTTGGTAATTGGACCCAGACCTTCTTGTTCTTTAACTTCTCCTCCCGTTCTTCATGCAGTCTAATACGAGTTTTCTCTTCCTTCAATACGAGCGAAATACCTAAATATATTAGCCTGACAATACTTCTACAAATGATACTCAACTTACTCGTTGTCCTGTTCTTCATAATGTTAACATTTCCTCTCGCTCTGAAATCATAACTTCTAGTCCAATCTCCCTTTCCACACCAAGCCTCATCAACATATAATGTAGTTGGATCCTCCACTTTGACTCTCTTTCCATCCTTTGTGACGATATATCGCGTCTTGAAATTTTCAGTTGATTTTCTCTCAACTTTCCCTAATCCCATACCCCTCTTCAGGATGGCCTCGTTCCTCGCATGCTCCAAATGTTCTTTGACATCCTTGGCAACCTTCTTCTTCGAAAATCTCATTTGAATGATCGCATCTTCCACTGTCTTGCCCGCAATTTGCTTGGCCAAAGGAACCAATTTCTTTACTGAAGTCTTGAAATCATGACTCTTAGACAACAACACCCTTTCCGTTCTCTTCAACGTTTGATCCTTCGTCAAACGTCCTCGTTTTTTGACGTCCTGTATGACCATCTTCCTTTTCCATCGAAGTGTAGCATTGGGGTTTGGATCGAGTGCTCTAGCCATTATTTCAGGATTTCTGGGTATGACTTTGTCTTCCTCGTCTCCTTTCCCTCCTGAACCCTCATCTTCAAAGATGGACGATTTTGCAAGATCTCCTCGCTCAGCCTGTTGTCGTTGCGTATCGGATTTCTTCTTGAGGTATTCCTCTGTCAAAGGATTCTTGGGGGCTTTATCCGGCGAGAACATCCTCCTTGCACTGTCGAGACGCTTTGAGAAATTGTCCCATAGTGATCTTCGTTGATTGGTATATAATGGGATGAGGAAGGCGATGGGTGGATGGGATGTTGTAAGAGGTGCAGCTGCGAGCTGATTAGCATTGATCATATATAAACATAGCCCTATACTTACCAGACCTTAGCAGGCGCCGCGAAGGAAGATTCAGACTCATTATGTGGACCGGGTGGTGTTGCTTGTCAATGGCTCGGTCATCATATCAAAATAATTGAAGTTCTTAGTTCGCCAATTTTATGTGGCTGCTTTAAGATTTACGCTACAGTCAGGATTCAAGATAATTTTTTGTTGAAGCTTATAACAGCTATCTCGGTCAGAAACTTTTCAAGTTTCAATCGATTTACAGGTAAACCTTCCAAATGACTGGAAATGTGATCAAATTAATTGCATGAATCTTCAACAGCTCATTCGTAATGTTGAATGTAGAATGTAAACGGCGATCTCGTGTCCCGCTATCGTATTCTTAAATTATTAAGCGGCGGCAAAGGTCCGGTGGGATTGAAATGTTCGAGATGGATCGTATTTCATAGCATCAATGCCTACTCTTGTTATCAATACACAACACCTATTTATTGATCATCTTCCAACAACAAAATCTCAAGAAGATCCTCGAAATGCTTCTTGGGCTTCCTCCCGATACCGATACGAGATTTCCAAAGTGAAGTAGTTGGAGAAAGCTTTGTTTACAATGGAACAATCACCTGTTGGCGAAGAGGAGTGGTTAGCACTCGTAGATGAGGCTAGCAGAAACGCGAGAGATCTGGAGCAGCGCATCAAAGTTGTCGAATTATACGATCGCGCAATAAGTGCAGAACCTTGGAGCAACCCGCTTTGGTTAGCAAGATGCGACTGGGTCTTGTCATTATACACAGATTGTCGGGATCCAGATGCAGGATGGCCAGAAGATGAGCGACTCGTCGGACAGGAATTATTCACGTTACAAACAGCGCAGGATCTTTGGCAGGAAGGCACTGCAGCTACGCAATTTCGTTTGAACGACAGTCATGAGTTATGGAATAGATGGATAACTATCGAACTGGAATTGCTTGCGAAATCTCCTACTCGTGAACAGGTAGAGCGCGTCCGCAAAATATTCTTCGATCGCCTTCAAATACCACATGCCAAATGGGACGAGACTTCTCAGATGTTCTCGACGTTTCTCACGAAATATGACGAGCCCTCTTATGAATCGACAATGGTGCAAGTTACACAGATGGGTAGCACTGCACGATATTTATATGAGCAACGTGAACAGCACGAGCTCAAGCTTCAGCAAGCTGTTGCGGCTGGTGATAAGGATCACATAGCATCTGTCATGAAGGAATATCTAGAATGGGAGACTTTCCAAACAGTGACAAAGCCAAAGAAAGGTTTACCACAAAGCCCCCAAATTCTTGCAATTGCCCTCTACGAGCGCGCATTAGCTTCCACAATTCTAGGCCGGGATCCCGGAATTTGGGAAGATTACATTGCTTTCGTTCAACAGAGCTACGTTGTAAATCCAGATGCGCAGTTAGGCAGTCCCCTTTACATTGTTCAGCGAGCTACCGCACATTGCCCTTGGTCAGGAAGCTTATGGGCGCGCTACATCCTTCTTGCTGAAACGCAAAACCTGGATTTTTCTTCGATTGAAGATATAAAGCATGCTGCGACGAGTACTGGCGTATTGGATCGTGACGGGACAATGGATGAGGTGATTGAGGTCTACACGGCTTGGTGTGGCTATCTTAGGCGTAACACGATCGATAAACCTTTAGAGGACGAAGCTTTTGATGTAGCCGACGCTGGTCTGCCTGGTTCACTCGAGGCCGTTCAGGACTGGGGTCGAAGGCTCTATAAAAGAGAATACACGGATCCCTTGTTTAAAATCGAAAGAATAATGATTCAGTACCTCACTCAGAAAGGATCAATTGAGGAGGCTCGTGAGTTTTGGAAAAGACTTGTGAATACTCATCAGAAAAGCTACGTTTTTTGGCAACAGTATTACTCATGGGAAATGACAGTCCGATATCTTAACAAATCATCTAACCTACCCTCTATGGTCTTGTCTCGAGCTTTACGTACGAAAGATCTAGATTGGCCGGAAGCGATTATGGAACTCTACATTTCACATTGCAATAATTACGAAGATGCACATACTTTGCTAGGAGCAAAAGACCTAGTCCGTAGACAATTACAACTAGTTACCAAGCGCAGGGAAAAGTTGGCCATTGAGCAAGCAGAATTGTATGCTCAGCAACAACAACAAATCGTTAGCCCGGAAGCCACGGATGAGGATTCTCCTGGAAATTCGAAGAGGAAGCGTGAGCCGACCTCAGAAGATACCACTGATGGTAATACCCACAAGAAGATAAAGAATGAGCAATCGACAGCTGATGCAGAGGCTTTACGACAACAGCATTTGACAAGAGATCGCGAGAATACTACCGTAATAGTCACCAATTTACCTCCAGAAGTCACCCAAACCAAAGTAAGACAGTATTTCAAAGAATATGGTCACATCAATAGCTTGACGCTCAAGACTGAAGCGGACAAACTTTCTTCTACCTGTTTGATCGAATTCCGTTCCAATGGCGACGTTCAATCGGCTTTCCTCCGTGATGGAAAATTCTTTGGTGAGAATCAAATCAAAGTAGAGTCTGGTACTGGTTTGACTCTTTATGTCACTAATTATCCACCTACTGCTGATGAAAATTATATGCATACTCTTTTCAAGGATTGTGGTGAAATATTCAGTATCCGATGGCCAAGTCTGAAATTCAATACGCATCGTCGATTTTGCTATATTACCTTTCGTAAAGCTGAAGCTGCTTTGGCAGCCACCCAGCTCGATGGAAAGTTACTCGAGAATAAATTCAAACTCGTAGCAAAATATTCCGACCCGGCTGCGAAAAAACAACGAGAGGGTGCCACTGCAGAAAGTCGAGAACTCCACATAACTAGTCTCGATTCGAGCTTGAAGGAGGATGATTTGAAGGATGTGTTTGGAAAGTATGGCAAGGTTGAATCTGTCAGAATCTTGAGAACATTCAAAGGGGAGAGCAAGGGTGCAGGATTCATTGTCTTTGAGAAAAAGGACGAAGCTACTGCCGCACTTGAATTGGATAAAACCAAGTTGAAATCCTCCATTCTTCATGTCGAATTGACACAAGCGAGAAATTATAAACCTATCGCAACCAGTAGAGGAAAAGAATCTTCAGCATCTCCAGCTCCAGACGCTGATGGAGATACTTTGATGTCCCCTGCTTCTACTACAGACAATCCTCACAAGAATCAACATGCTTTACATCAACCATCAGAAGGTGGCAATCGAACCATGACCTTACTCAATGTCCCTGATACGGTGAATGATGCAAGAATTCGTGCAATTGCAGAGCCATTTGGAAGTATTATCAAAGTCGTACTTCGTCCGGATCATCAAGGTGCAATCGTTGAGTTTGAGGATGTCAATTCTGCAGGTAAAGCATCTCTCGGTCTCGAAAATTATGAGATAGCACCAGGTCGTAAATTGAGAACAGGAGGAATGAAAGATCTTTTCGCTCAGTCGAGTGAGGTTAAAAGTGATCGTATTGTGGTTGGACAAAATGGAAAGAGGGAAAAGGAGAAAGCGGGTGCGAGTACGGGAATGGGAATGGGAGCAGGGACAAGTACGAGTAATTTCATGCAACCCAGTGTACCGATCAGAAGACCAGGTGGAGGAAGGGGTGGATTGGGACAAAAAAGAGGATTGGGATTTTCGGGCGGGAAAAAACCAGGGCCAGTGCCGGCACCAGATACAGGTTCGGATCCTAATGCAAAACCAAAAAGTAATGCGGATTTTAAGAAGATGTTTTTGAGTGGGGGAAAGGAATAAATGGGATGGGACGG